TTTCTTTGCGTGAACATTTGGGCGGCGTTATGCAAATCTTCCCACATAGTGAGGTAGATATGTGGGGGCGTGTTAGAACGAGCCGTTTTAGGTAGGTGTGGCTGACTCTGAAATTTTATAAAGAATATCTCTTTGGATTTGAGACTTTAGTCTTTGCAACTTTACAGATCTTCTTTATGCACCAAGAGCTTGTAACACTCCAAAGAGAAAGGAAAAATTTAAATCGCATCATATGACCCCTTTAAGCTAACTGACGCCTGCACTGTTGATTCTGAAGGCCTTAAGGCAGATTTCTTTGACCCTGGCAACACTCTCTAATATAAGCTCTAAGCTCTAAAGTATATATATGTATGTGTGTGTGGGGGGGGGGGGAGTGTATAAGTTACTACTTACCCTCAATGATGGCAGAATTTTCAGTCTTGTGTGGACTATCTCTTTAAGCTAACATTTCAATGAGATGCATAAATCAGCAGCTTACTATGAGAGTGTTGTCCGCAGTTCTGTCTGTCCCCTGCGAGTGCTCTCTGTATTGCTGTTTCTGAGCTAATCGATTCTCTGTGACCTTCAGTGTATGTGAAGCCGCCAGGCACAGGGGAATGTCACATCTGAAAGACAGCATCAGTGCTTGGCCCTAGGGAATTCCATCCCTTAACACACCGTGCCTGCCTCAGCCCACGGAAACAAACTAAGATAGAGGGGATGTCAGGGCCTGAGTAGATCTCCAATCTCTTAGACACTTGGCCCTATCTCACCTCCTGACAGAGGAAACTGACAGTCTGCAGGAAACCAGCCTCTGTGAATCCCAAAGAAAAGGTTCAGTAATGAAGCTGATGGGCTACTAAGCTGTTATCAATATCGTCAGTGTTCTGAGTGATGACTAATGGAGATCTTGTTCACTGCACAACCTGTTTTTGCTTTGAACACAAAGCACAAGCACTTTGCATTGATTTTGACAGCAGTTTGTCAAAAGGTCTGGCTATGCACCTAGATGCAATTATTGGAGTTTTTATTAAAAACATTTATAGTTTTATTTATTAAGGTCCTGAGATCCTTCTCGGGGCCGTTCTATCACCTGGAGGCCTGAACGCATGCCAATTTAGCCTCAGAGGAGCTTGTGAATATTCTAAAAATTAATGAGTGTGAATATGATATCATCCACAGCTGATACTCAAACAAATTTATTAGTGACTGCAAAAGAATCGTGCAAAATTAATGTGAACTTTTAAAATTAATTAATTATTTGCATATTACGACCCATACATACATTCCATAAGCAATTCAAGCTGTAGTGTTGATGTTTTTTTTCCTGCACTGCAGTCATTATTTGCAACTGGGGGCTTTTCTTACCAAATATTGATATATGTAATTAATTTGTGTAATTGATCATGACAACTTGTAATAATAATAATTTGACACATACAAGGGTAGTTTGAATGTTTGTGCAAAGAAACAAGGCAAGTCGATTTTATTTGTATAGCACTTTTTATAGTTCGGTGTAGTATTTGTCCCGCCTCTTGTCCACTGATTGGACAGCTGGGTAAAAAGTGACAGTGACGAGCATTGCATTTTACCCAAAGCTAAACAGTTGATCAAATCTCAGCTACAAAAAAAAAAACAAAAAAAACTTGTACTATATTATGATGGCAGTGCATCAAAATTCAGTGTCATCAGTTTGCCAACTACCTTTACCCCTAACCATAGCCCATAACAAAGACATCTCAAACAATGTCATCTTTGCATTAAAAATGACATAACTGAGCGAATGACACTTAATGACAGTTGTCATAAACATGCATAAAAACTCTTCATATTCATGACATGTGTCATGTCATGATTATGAAGGTGTCTTGTCAGTCTTATGCACACCCCTTCAAGTAAAGTGTAACCGAACGTTTTACGCACCATTTACACATGGTAGGGAGCAGGTGTAAATTTTTTTGGTACCAACTAACATTTTGAAAATACGAACACTTTCATGAATCCGAAAATTTACATCAGAACAGCTTTACGAACAATTTACACAAATATTTATTCTGCTCGTGTTTCATGAATGAGGCCCATTGTTTCTAAGCAGCTTTACAGAAAATCATGATGTTAATGTTAGTAGTATCTTAGTTTCTTCAGTCTTTATAGTCACATTTAGCAGATATGCTTTATGTGAGTGTACTGTATGCACTATATAGCCAACTTTGCATACAGATCTGTGCGATAATGTAGTTTACATTTTGCAACAGTATTAACAACCACACAGCTGAGATTTGCAATGTATATACTGCTTTTACGTGAGTTTGCTATGTGTATGTAGGTAAAACTGGATATTTATCCAACTTTAAAGGTGCCATAGAATGGAAAACTGTATTAACCTTGGCATAGTTGAATAATAACAGTTCTGTACATGGAAATGGCATACCCTGAGCCTCAAACACCATTGTTTCATCCTTCTTATATAAATCTTGTGCATGCAAAAGACCATTGAAAAATAGGCGAATCAGAACATAACACCGACTGTGACGTTACAGTCGAGATCACTAATAGTTACGCCCAAAACATTTGCATATACCCGCCCATGTTCTATGCCAGCTGCCAGCCGAACCTGCACAGCCGAATCATCAGAAGTTCTGCAGGTATTGTGAAGAAACAAGCGAGGATAATAGCGAAAATGGCAGATCATGGAAATAAACATTATGTTCCAGGCTGTGCAGGGGATGTGATGTGCAGGGATAGGTTGGTGTCTGTATTCAGAAAGGCACGGAAAACAAAAAACGCGCGTTCTAATAAAATAGCGCAAGCCACTAAAGGGACATGTTAGCTGCTTGCTAGCGGTAGCCTGTTACAGGACATAAGATTTCACTTACCACATAAACAGAGTAAGGAGAGATGACTGAGGATGATGGCGAATGATTTACAGATCCTGAGCACCACTGACAAGCATCTGATCTTGTAAAATGTGTGTTAAGTACTGCCGCTGTAGTTTACACAGAGCACGTGTGATCGCAAATCTCGAAAGTGAAAGTAAAAAGCGATCGTACATTCGAAAACAGTTTCAATGCCCCGCATATTAATAGCTATTTTATATATATTTTAAATATATAAATAGCTATTTAAATATATATTGTCCCTGTGTTTCCTTCATGCTGCGTGAGCTACTGAAATGAGCCGCACTGTGAAACAGCCAATCAGAGCAGAGATCAACGTTGAGCCGCACTGTGAAACAGCCAATCGGAGCAGAGCTCAACATTATTATTCATGACCCTTCCAAATAAGGTAAAAACAGGCCATTTCATTCTAGGGACAAATCCTAGGGTTGCAAATGTACATGTAAAACCGTTTCTGGAGATTTGTTGTCCTTACCTAAGCCACATACCTGCTATGTATTTATCAGAGAACAATTTAAAATATTGTATCAATGCATTCTATGGCACCTTTAAATATAACACTGTGCAATATTATAGTTTACATTTTGCAATGATATAAACAATCAAGCAGTTGACATTTGCTATATGGTATTTATTGCTTTACATGAGTGTACTTTTCTGTATGTGGGTAAAGTTGGATATACTTGTGGTTGTAGGCTGGAGTTATGAATTCGCTATGCGCTGATATTGAGAATTACATTTTGGTTCAAATTTCAATCATATTGCCCACCAAGCAGTTTAGTTGAAAATCATTGAATAACATTTATACATAACATATTGAACATAACATATTTCCATGTAGAAAATAATTTAGCTGTAATTGATTATGTCCTTTACTGTGTGGTCAGTCTTGTTTGTTCGTTGTATGAAGGTACCGTCGTCCACTTAACCAGACAGTTTTTTTATGGTCTGTATCCATGGCAACCATTCAAAGGGTCTTTATTTTCACTGTGTTCAAACTATTAATGTCAGTCAAAGTCTCTCAGGTATATTATTAGTTCTGTTTACAGATTTTCAGCAGGTAAGCTTGCACACGTTGTGAGGACTGTAATAAGTGCATGGTTACCTCATTATTTTGGCTTTTGCAAAGTGAACTTGGCATCATTAATCACAATTATTCCCCCCCCACCCAAATAGTAGCCTTCTTTATTAATTCTAAGAAGTCAGAGACTGTGATTTCTTCATTGATCTCATTTATCATCCTTCAGTAATGGATCAGGAGCAAAACAAATTAATGCACACTGTACAAGAATTAATAACAAGCTACTCAGCAGAGTAATAAGGAGACATTTGGTTGCTTGTTTCAGAGAGGTATTGATGATGTCTCTTGCATTATCTGGTAGTTATGTGGTGATCTTTGAAAGTGTTTTTTTTTTTTTTTGGTGGCCATCTGTTGAGATGTCTTAGATTATAAAGTACAGTAGAAGGGGAAGTTTTGAAAGCTATTGATTTTAATGGTGATGAAATACTCTACTAAAAGACTTCAGAGCTCTTGTACATCTTGGCAGTGTTTAAAATGGTGAAATGGTGAAATCCATACAGAAATCCATACTGGTAGATGGTGTGATATTGAAAGACATACATACATAAAAACATACAGTACAGTAAATACAATATAAATGTAATAGAGGATTGGTATGTTATGTTCTAGATAAATTATGACAGAATTTTCATTTTTGGGTGACCTAACCCTTTACTCACCCTCATGTAATTCCAAACCTTTCTTTCTTTCTTTCTTTCTTTCTTTCTTTTGTATAACTTAAAATATATATATTTCAGTTGTTTCAACTGTTTTTGTCAGAATGGAAGTCAATGAGGCCCAAAACAACAAAACAAAAATAATCTTTTGTGTTCCACAGAAGAAGGTCATACAGGTTTGAAATGACATAAATAAATTATTTTGCACTGAACTTCATCTGCAAAATCTGCAAATATGTGGCATTATCCCCCATATTATGACAATTAGTCACCTTTTTGGTCTCTCTGACTCACTCACCTGACCTTTTGCTCACCTGGCTCAGATATTTGTCCTTCTAATCTGTTACATGGCATAATTTTCCTCCTCTTTTCTTCTTTATCCTTCAGCATCACCAACTCTACCGCCTTTGAAATCGGAGCATTTCAAGCCGTGTCAGGAGAAAGACCTGGCCTATTGCCTGAATGACGGGGAGTGCTTTGTCATCGAGACCCTGAGCGGCCCACACAAACACTGCAGGTATGACAGCACTTCCTGTTTCTGCAATGGAGGGAAAGGGTCGGCCTAGTGTTTGCTCGAGAAATAAATGGAATCACTACGGATGGGAGGCTCAGCGGTTTCAGACCGATGACAATTCCATGTCCCATTTTCTGTTAGAATGATCCTTCTGGAACAATCCGCCAGTAAATCTCTCTTTCTCTCTCATTTTGTCTTCACCTTTTCCTCTCTCTCTCTCTATCTCTCTCTCTCGATCTGCTCTTCCACCTCCTTTTTCCTACTCGTGTCTCATTGCCCTCCTCTCTGGGACTCTCGCTGTTGTATGAAGCTCTTAGTCATGCTAACGATGACAGCTTTGTCATAGCCTGAGAACTGTCTAAGGTCCCTTCTCTGCTAATTAAAAGTGGCACTTTGCAGAAGTTCATTAGAGGCTTGTTTCTGCTCTGTGGGCTTTTCTTCAAGGATGAAAATAGGATTCACAAAATGGAGGCAGAGAATTTCTGACACTGATGTGTTCACCTTTTGTGCGACGCGTGAGCACCATTTCAAATAACATTTCCTGGATGTGAGGGTTCACTGCCGTAGGTTTTGCATGAGCAGTCTTCTCCTCATTTGCCTAATGGAATACAGAGACATTGCATGTCTGAAACTGAAGGGCCAAGAAGGAGTAGAAGCCAAGTGTCCTCATTTTAATCAGTGGTAATTGGTGGTGTTGTTTTAGGTGGCCCATTTATTTGACTGAAGATTAGCTAGTTCAAATGCTCTGGCTCTGATTAATTCCCTGAACACTCTTCCCTCCCAACTTAAAGCCAAGGACATCTGTGCATCTGTCTGTTCCTCAAAGCAAGGTGGTGATGGTCTCAAAGGATCAATTCACTTGAGAATGTGGATTCTGTAGAAAGATAATGCTATTACATATTTGCATTGCAGAGCTTTACAGGGCATTTTAATCATCAAAATAAAACTGAGCAGTTTGTGCTGAATTCCACTCTTTATTGATATATCAGGTAGTTTGCTGAATGTTTCATGGGTGCATAAAACTGCTTTTAGCCTTGAAATAACTGAAACAGGAAGTGACACACTGATTTGTAAAATAAATGTGTTTGGAGTCTATATTTATACTTTATACTGCTTTAAATGTGTTTTGAGACCCCTGCTGTTCAGCAAGATATACATCACTGTTTCTTCCAGACCGTCCTTGATTCTTTTTTTTTTTCCAGTGAATGCATCTAGTTCACCCAAAGAGTGTCTTTTTATTGTACTAATAGATTTAATGGTGTTTGGTAAGTGTGCCCTGATTTTTTTCTAGATGTAATGATTGACTAATGGCCCATGTACCATTATTTAGTCATTATATCTAAATAAAAAGCCTGACTGCTTTTATCCGACTGCCCTTTTTGAGTTTAGCACAGTCTGACAGTGTAGTTTTTGTATTAAAATTAGATATGCAGGGCTGCATCAAGAATCAACTTTCTATAACCCATTACACATTTTACATTAGATGGTTATGTGCTGCATTTTTCGTTCACAGGCTCTTATTCAACACAAAGCATTATGCTTGAACTGTGCAACAAGTCACTTTCTCAATAAGCTCACGTTTGCTCTCGCCAATTTTGATAAAGTGCTATTACTGTAAGGGTACCATTGTGTTCAAAGATCTAAAAGCTATGCTAAGTACCATGTACAGACAGTGTCCTCAAAACATGTATGAGTCTATGATGCACTGGGTACCATGGCATACAACCAGGGTCCAAAATTAACACCCGCCAAGCACTGAATATAAATAAATAAGAAGAAACCACACTGATGTAAATGTCGCAATTCATGTATAATATTTAGTATTTATAAAAAGGAAACTTTTTGAAATTTGGAAGCTAAAGAGTCATGGGAAAATGGCTATTTCTTGTTTTTACTGTTTAATAAAAATAACACAAAATATTGTTTCAAGAACAGTTTGACAAATTTATAGCCAGCACATTTTTGCAATTCACATGCCATTGGCCAGTGTCACAAGAAGTTCAGTTTGGGTTCTGCATACAGCAGTTTTCTTTATTTGAAATCTTTATTCATTTAGCCTACCTAAACAGGAGTGTTTGGAGTTAGCCAGAGTTTAGCAGGCAGATGGAAAGAGAGAGAGAGTTAAAACTGTGTTAAAATAGGGACAAGATGGCAGACAGTAGAGGATAACAAATTATTAAAGGGGTGGTTGATTGCGATTTCCCTTTTTTTAATGTCAGTTAGTGTGTAATGTTGCTGTTTGAGCATAAACAATATCTGCAAAGTTGCGGCGCTGAAAGTTCAATGCAAATGGAGATGTCGTCTTTTAAAATTCTGGCAGTTTAATGCCTACAAAAACATAGGGACTACAAGGGGAGGGAGTTACTTCCCGGGTTTGTGACATCACAAATCCAGACAAACCCCGCCCCCGGGAACATGCAGCGAAGGGGGCGAGGCCATGCTGCGCTGCTTTAGAGAAGAGGAAGAGAAAACTAGGGGTGCACATAAAAATCTATTCATATATGAATCGTGATTCTGTCTTCTAACGATTCTAATGGATTCACAAGTTTCAAAATCAATGTTCTAAAACAACGGTTCTCAATACTTTTCCTCGCGTTCCCCTGCTCTACACACGCTCTGCATCTCTCTCTCTCTCTCATTCAGCTCAGCTCCAACAATTAACTGTTCCATTTATACACTTATTTTCAAATAGCTATGAGAAGCGTTATACAAGTAAGTGCGTGCGGTTGTTTTAAATAAAACCGTATATTAAAAGCTAACATAAGCAGTAGCATTTACAAATAACAGCGTATCTAAAAGTATGAGATAACAACAATCAAAAAACATACCATTAAGAGCCGTGCTTGCACAGGTTCTGCGGGATCCTCTTCACTAATATCCTCTGCATCTCAATCGGGCTCAAACTGATACGCAATATAGACTATGCCATTGTTTACAATACAACCGGAGCGCATGCCGCTGAGATGACGGGCGTGATGTTCAGACGCGCACTAGAGGTGGTTTAGCCAATCACAACACACTGGACCAGCTAACCAATCTGAGCCCATTACGTATTTCTGAGGGAGGGGCTTCATAAAAGCAGGAAATTATCAGCGTTTATGGGAGAAGGGACAGAGCGTTGTAGAATAAAGGTAAATTATGTGAAAAATAATGAAAATGTACTGGAACACAGCCTAGAATAGAAACCGCAGTGTAGAATAAAGGTAAAATAAAATAATGATTAAAAAAAACAAAAAAAACAAAGCATTAACACGTTACACTGCACCCCATAAACACAATCAAGCCTAGAAAAAAACAGTCAACCACCCCTTTAAAATAACTGCGTTTGCGCATGTGTGGAATAAAAGGCATGACAAGTAGAGAATCCTGTTTCCTTGGCTGTTCCAAGTTAAACAAACCCTTTGTGTCTGTTGACCTTGATTCATAGAGCATGTGGATTTTTAGTTGAGCTGCCTCATCTGGTCTATAGACCTATAAGCACAAGAAGAGGAGAATGTTAGGGCTGTTGTGTCTGAATAATTGTGCTACTTTTAAGGCCTCCCCTAGATGGCACTGTTGTTCATACATGTTCTATTGTAGGATAGAAATGGAGGAAGGAGATTAAGTAAACTGTGTGTGATTCAGTACTGCTTGTTTCCTGCTTCTTTATTTTACTGATTCCCAACATAACAATTGGCGACGAGGATGCCAGGATGTCTCTGCTCTCTCTGCAACCCCCAGTAGCGTTTCTGGATTGCCCAGGTGAACCGAAAATTCACTTTGATGCATGGGAAAAGTTATTTCAGAACTACCTGCTTGCTGTTGGTGGCGAGGAGTTTTCCACCGAGAGGAAGAGAGCACTACTAATGCACAAACTGTTAACCTCCCGAGGGTGCCATTCAGGTGTACTAGAATGAGGCAGAAACCTATCTGGACTAAGGACTATGTTTTGCATGAGTAAGAAAATGAAGAGAGGTTAAACTGTTCAAATAATTGAGTCAAGAAGATAAAAAGTTTAAATATGTTCTTCATTTCATTGTGTTTCACAGTAATTGTTTATTCTGGGCTTATACTTATTTCTGTTGTTTAAAGCCTGCTATATTCTTTCTGAAAAGGGGAAGATGTTGTGTCTGAATAATTGTGCTACTTTTAAGGCCTCCCCTAGATGGCACTGTTGTTCATACATGTTCTATTGTAGGATAGTAATGGAGGAAGGAGGTTAAGTAAACTGTGTGTGTGGTTCAGTACTGCTTGTTTTCTGCTTCTTTATTTTACTGATTCCCAACATAACAAGGGCTTACATCAATGTGATTACATAAATTGTGCATGGTTGTGCATCATAACCCAGCCATGTGTTTTAGCAGTTGTTGGAGCAACTCATGACTCAAGCTGACAAATTCAAACTATAAACACCGTATGGTTGAAAGTTCATTATGGCCCATCAAAAGTTAATATTTCAGTACGATCAATTTTAATTTTGCTTTACCCTTTAATGTTATCACAATAATGTTAAGGATTGTTAAAGTATTAACCTTATAGGCCTACAGAGAGAGAGAGATACAGTGCTTAAATTTATTAAACCACCGCCACCCAATGCAAGTCAATAAATAATAAATACAGTCTAATAAATTTGTATGTGCTCAACAAATTCATTAGACCACCTGTCATAATAAAGAGAAAACACAAATATTTTAGGAATCTGTCAAAAACCAGCCTGGTCTCATTGTTTATATGTAGGTATTAGTAGGTAATGTTTACAAGCACAAAACGTACATTTTAGTACGCTTTGATTTATGCTGAAACGTACAATTTGGATGTATTACAACGTTTAAAACATAAAATTGCTGTGTATTTACAGCTAAAAACTTAAAATATTTACAAATCCTTTATATCATTAAGATATTTGTATTAGCGCAGTTTTATAAATTTATCGATATGCGATATAGATTTTTGGACCCCTTATACCCCCAAACCTAAACCCACATTTTATAGCGAATATAAAAATATATAAAACGTAATAGACC